CAGCAGCGTGGCCAGGGCAGAAACCCATGTTCTACAATATAGGGTGTTGGCATGCCAAGTGGTGGATTAACTGCTAGGCCAAATATCCATCCCACAGAGTGTTTTTGATTGGCAAAGAACTGTAGACTTCTTTAAATAATTCTGGAAAAATAGATCTCATTCATAGTTATGGAATCAAAAAGTATAAGCCAAAAGTGCTCCTTTCTCAGTCCAACGTAACCACACCAGAAAAATCACTTCCAGATTTTAGATTATGCCTAGTAGCTGTGCACATCAGTTGCATCTCCAGTTCAAGACTAAGTTTCTAATTGCAACCAGGTGGCCAGCACAGGTATGTCAGATCTGGAATACAAAACAGTCACCCCATTCCCTTTTGTGTTTCTTTCTTAGAGCGCTAAGAGATACAGTACTTACTTCCTAGTCTCTCTTGGCAGCCAGGTTTGGCCAGTAACCCACTGATTTTGGTCAAGGAGATATTAGGGTAAGTAGTCCCTGGTGCTTCTGGAAAGTTCTGTCCTTGGTGAAAAATGAGAGGTAGAAGGGGGTAAAAGTCTGTTGCTTTGAGCCTTCTTCCATTTTCTGTTTCTGTTGACCTAACGTTCATTGTGTGTTCCATAAAAGATTGGTGTGTGGAGAAGGGGTGGTAGTTAAAAAGGGAAGTGGTGAAGAATGTCTGGCCTACTAGCTATGAAATCATTTGGTCCATCCCTGCCAAGGCAACTGTAAGTGAGACTCAAAATTCAATAAATATATGACAGGCTAATTTTAAAGGTGTTAACTTTGTATGGCCAATGAACAATGTTATAAATATCCAAATAACCCTTGGCAGAAAAAAAGGTTCCCCACCCTCAACAGATAAATGTTCGTGCCCAGTACTTACCACTGCCAATGTCATCATCCAAGGTACAGTGCACAGAGGTAGTACCTGGGACTTCTGGCAGACTAGCAGCACATGTCACCACTCTCCATGGTAGTGTGCAGCCATTCTCTGGTTAATGTGTGGTATCTCCTCTCTAGAGCATTCTATGGGCTCCCCTGAGCACAGCCTGTGACATGCACACACTCCTGTTCTCCAAAGGCTCCCAATTCAAGGCTACCTATATGTAGTTCAGGTACCTAACACCAGGAGTGCACATTCAAGTGAGAGAGGAGAGATTAACACAAATCCAAGAAGTCTGGAGAGATTTGGCTGAGAAAGGTTTGGAGATGTGAGCTGGCTCACCAAAGAAGTGTCAGGATTTCTGAGTTGGAGAGAAAGCCAAGTCCACTAGGGTGAGGAGAATTGTGTAGAGAGAAACACACTTCTGAGAAAGAACAGGAAGGTATGCAAATTTCTAGAAACAAGTTTCTACGGCTCCAGGAAATGAATGCTGTAAGAGTGATGAAAACCTGGTCTACTGAAAGGAATTGGCAAACACTGAGTCTAAAAGAACAGAGAACAATTCCTCACATGGTGCTCACATTTAGTAAAATAGAGATGTCCAATGACAACAAAATCCTCCATGTCACCCTCCCACTCTCCAATGATGCTGTATTGTCTAGCTAGAATAGTGCTGAAAGCTGTGTAGAAGTGTTTATAGCATGGTCTTCCAATGCTTAGCCATTATGTTAACTCAAGAGGTCTATAGACCAACCATTACATAATACCACATGTTCACACCGATCGGAAAACATATCTTTGGAGGTGGGAGGGAAGAGGATCAAGGATTAAAACTTGGGAGTTATGCTTCCTATTATTCTTTTATTCATTGACTCAATAAACCTGAATTGTTTACCTTGCTCCAAATGACTGGAGAAGACATACTTGAGTAAAACAACACTGTAGCCTTTAAAGGCCTCTCAGTCTACCAGCAAACATAAGCAGGTTAATAAGTGAATGTCTTCAAGTGGACTTGGATTCTGAAAACACACTTTCTGGGCACTGTGGGGACACAAAGGCAACAGGGCAGAACAACAGAGTCCTTCAGGACAGGGCCAGTAAGTATCGGGAGGCAGGATGAGTCTTGCTAGGGGAGGTGATGCTGAAGGTGACTGTAGAAAAACAAGTTGGAATTAAAGGCTTTCAGAGAGAAGCACCCAAGACTGGGCAGACTTCAATGTCAAATTTACTTAGGGGGCAATTGTGTTTCCTGCACAAGGTGTGACATGGGGGAATCATGCATTGTAGCTAAACAGGATAAACTGCTGACTGGGGCACACACATCCATATTGGAGCTCTGGCTTGGTCCCAGCGGCTCTGTGCTTCCAAACCTGCTTCTTACAAATGTGCCTGGGAGCCAGCAGATGATGCTGCAAGGACTTGGGTGTTGGCACTCACTTGAGAAACCTGGATGCAGTTCCTGGCTCAGGCTTCTGCCTCACTCAGCCGTGCTGGTTATTGACATTTAGGAACTGAACCAGTGGGCAAAAAAATCTCTCACTCCCTCTACGTGTATGTGTGTGTGTGTATGTGACTCAACTTTTCAAATAAATAAATGACTCCTTTCTAAATAAGTGTGAAGTAGCAGATCTTTTAAATTTGTGAAACATTCGCATTTGGTCAAGCTATGTGATCTCCTGGCTGTCTGCCAAAAGAACCTGTGCTGGCATGCTTTGCAGTCTGCTGTAAGATTTAGTGAGCTGGCAAGCGTCTATTGTGTGGCTGTAATACATGAACAGGGAAGAAAGAAAGGAAGAAACCAGGCAGAAATGCAAATATTGTGAAAATTGAAGTGCCCTATTCAGCACCAGTTATGAGTATGTTAATATGACTCATGAGGGAACAGACAATGGGGCCATTGTTTTGGTAGCCCTGCCTGGAGCAGGCTGGTGAGTGACCACCTGTCCTTGGCTCTCTGGTGAGGTGAGCCTTTTACATCAAGCCTCAGAATTGCATCATATCTCCAGTAGGAACAGTTTCATTTTATTACTGTAACAAAGGATTGTCATTGCATCAAAGGGCAAACTGGGATCTTCCTGTTGCAACTGCTGCTCTGCAAACTAAGCAAAAAGAAGACACAGGAGAAGCACAACCCAATAGTTGATGGGAACCCAATGGCTTCCACTTCCATGATGTTCACAGATGGCTACAGAAATCATCTGTATAGTACCTTGTGGAAGAAATAATTCATGAAAAGAGGGCTCTTGGGAAGAGATGCCAGGAGCAAAATGGCTGGAACAGGAGTGTGATGCTGAAATGCAGACTGAGTTTGATATCAGCACTAGCTGTTTTGAAAAGTCACTAATTATGAATCCTAATGTCATGCTGTCCTGTGGCATGCCCTGCTTCTCTTCAGCCCACCCAGCTGCCCCAAACTCTCACAGATGTATTTAGACAAAAGCAAATCTCAATTTCTTCCAGCTCTTTCAGATCATATCCTATATCTTTATTCCTATCATCATTGCAGACTTCTTGGAAAAGTTATTTCCATTTTCTGGCATACCTTTGCTCTCTCATCATCAGGAATCATCATTAGTGTAAAGAGCCCACTCCATGTCTCTCTTCATTGAAGAAATTTTTCTGAATAAATCTTGAGGTATCACAGGACATAATATTGGAAAATTAGGGCTACCCTTACACCTCTAGTTAGAATTCAAAGTCCCCAATGGATGACCTAGGACTATAGTAGAACAATTGGAGTCCTAAGTGTCGGAAGTAAGGTGAGTGGGGAAGTCGGTTTTGGGGAAGGAGCCCTTAAAGCATGTAATAGGGAAGATAAGTACAACTCAGACAGAGATTTCATGTTGATTTTGTGACAGAAAAAAAGGCTTTCTTAGTAAATTTGACTTGTAGCACTAGGGACATGGAATGTTCTGACAGTTATTAATCTTTTGGAGACAGGTGTCCTAAAGACAGGTGAAAAGAGTAGACAGATCAGTAACAAGAGAGTCATGTGTTGGAATATGTTAAACTGAGAGAAAAATGTTTTTACTGATCCACTTGAAAATATTTTTAATATGTCCCAGAAGAGCATATTATCAGACTCTGGCCATGTGAGGGACCTTATACAAAGCTAGGATGGCTTCCAGATCCTTAAAATATGTCCCTTATGCCACCTTCTTGGGCTCTCTCTCAGGCAGTATAAGAGAGGATCAGAAAAGGGAGCTCTTAAATTTCAAATGAAGGAAAATATCATTTTCTATACAATGAAAGAGGCAAATAAGGAAGGTGCTGGAGAATGATAAGTGGCAAGAAAAAATTCCAGCTTCAATTTCTTGCATCCTTAATTTGGTGTTCCTGGCTACCTTCTATCACTTCCAATACCCGCCTAAGTCCTTCACTTAATCTGCCTCCCCAGTAAGTCATTCTTCAAAATCCTTCATTGCTCCAATCAGAATATCAGAGGGGTGGGCATTTCGCCCAGTGATTCGGACACCCACATTCCTAATCAGGGTGCCTAGGTCTGAGTCCTAATTTCATTCCAGTCACAGCAACCTACTGATGTACACCCTGGCAAGCAACGAGTGACAGTTCCTGCCACCTATCTGGGAGACCTAGAATAAACTCCCAGCTCCTGAGGATCAGTAGAGTGAACCAGGGAGTGATCTCTCTTTGTCTCTCACTTTGTTTCTAAAAGGAGGAAACATTTCTTTTTTTAAAGAACATCAGAGACTAAATATTAATTATCAAGGCACACACCCTAATCAACACATTCAGAGACAGATATTGCGGAGCAGTGGGCTAAATCTTCTGCTTGGCACTTCTGCATACCGTTTCAAAGTGGTGACTCAAACCTTATGTACTCTGATTCTAGTCCAGCTTCCTGCCAATGTGCCCAAGAAGCTGGTGGGTCGCAGTGCAAGTACTTAAGTCCTTGCCATCCATGTAGGAGACCTGGGTGGATCTCCAGATTCCTGGCTTTCACTTGCTACAGCCTTGGGTGTTGGCATCATCTGGGAGTAAACTAATAGAGGGAAAAGCTTCTCCCTTTTGCTCTCTGCTGTTTCATATTTCAAATAAATGAAAAAGCAATCTTTCTTTTTTGATTTTGATTTTGTTTTTGATAATTTTTTACAGATTTAAAAATATGGAACACTTCACGAATTTGCATGTCATCCTTGCACAGGGGCCATTCTAATCTTTTGTGTATCGTTCCAATTTTTATAAATATGCTGCCGAAGCGAGCACAACACTTTCTTTTATTAAGATTTTTTTTAATTATTGAAAAGTCAAATATACAGAGAGGAGGAGAGACAGAAAGGAAGATCTTCACATCCATTGATTAATTCCCCGAGTGGCTGCAATGACCGGAACTGCACCAATCTGAAGCCAGGTTCCCAGAGATTCTTCCAGGTCTCCCACGCGGGTGCAGGGTCCCAAGGCATTGGGCTGTATTAGACTGCTTTCCGAGGCCACAAGCAGGATGGGAAGTGGTGCTACTGGGATAGAGCCTGTGCCTATATGGGATCTCAGCACATGCAAGGCGAGGACTTTAGTTGCTAGGTGGTTACCGCACTGGGCACCCCTCTCCCCGCCAAATAAACACTTTCTTAAAGCACATAAAATATAAATGAACAATGGCAAACAGAGAAAAGAATAATACAATTCTCATCTAAATATTACGATTTAGCCTTTGTGGAAAAAGAATTTGATGTTTAGGAGTTTACAATCACATGAAAAGAATAATGTGTGGAAAATGAGGGTATGGGACCTGTGGCGTGGCCTAGCGGCTAAAGTCCTCACCTTGAACGCACCAGGATCCCATATGGGCGCCGGTTCTAATCCTGGCAGCTCCACTTCCCATCCAGCTCCCTGCTTGTGGCCTGGGAAAGCAGTTGAGGACGGCCCAAAGCCTTGGGACCCTGCACCCATGTGGGAGACCCAGAAGAAATTCCTGGCTCCTGGCTTCGGACCGGCATAGCACCAGCCGTTGCGCTCACTTGGGGAGTGAATCATCGGACGGAAGATCTTCCTCTCTGTGTCTCCTCCTCTCTGTACATCTGACTTTTCAATAAAATAAATAAATCTTTGGGCCCGGCGCGGTGGCGCAAGTGGTTAAAGGTCCTCACCTTGCACGCCCGGGATCCCATATGGGCACCGGTTCTAATCCCGGCAGCCCCGCTTCCCTTCCAGCTCCCTGCCTGTGGCCTGGGAAAGCAGTCAAGGACGGCCCAAGGCTTTGGGACCCTGTGCCCGCGTGCGAGACCCGGAAGAGGCTCCTGGCTTCGGATCGGCATAGTATCGGCCCGTTGCGCTCACTTGGGGAGTGAATCATCGGACGGGAGATCTTCCTCTCTGTCTCTCCTCTCTGTATATCCGCCTTTCCAATGAAAAAATAATAAAAATAAATCTTTAAAAAATAAATAAATAAATAAATAAATCTTTATTTAAAAAAAAAAAAGAAAAGAAAATGAGGGCATGAATGAAGATCCAAGAATACTTTACAGTGACTTTATGTATAAATAAATAAAAGAGTACAAGATGATAGAATGTGTTACCATAATAATTTGTGTCTTGGAGGTAAGGACCAAATGCTGTACTGCTCTACACACCTAAGTATCTTATCTCTCCATTACTCTCAATACCTGGAAAAGTACCTACCAAGTCGTGGTGATAAATATTTGTTTTGAGGGCCATGCATAGAAAGTTAAGTCTCTACCTGTGGTGCCACCATCCCAAACGGATAATGATTCGGGTTCTATCTGTTTTGCTTCCAATCCAGCTCCCTGCTAATGGCCTGGGAAACAACAGAAGCCGGCACAGGTTTTTGGGCCTTTGCACCCATGCAGGGGACCCGGAAGCAGGTCCTTGTTTCTGGCTTCAGCCTGGGCTAGTTCTAGCCCTTGTGGCCATTTGGGGAGTGAACCAGTGGATGAAATATCTCTCTTTGTCTCTCCTTCTCTCTCTGTAACTGTCTTTAAAATAATAAACTGATCTCTAAAAGTATTTATTTTCATGTTGGATCAATTTCTGGCTTAATCTCAGTTTGATTTTTTTTTTTGTCTACAATGCTCACAAATTCATTTGACGTGGATTATTACGTTTTTATTTGCTCCTCCATCTAAATATTTCATGCCATTTGGAGTTTTCTACTTCTCATATCTGGTCAAGATCCTACAGGTGAAAAAGCTGTGTGTTTGTGATGGGAAGAGTTAAATCACATTTATTTAACCTGCTCATTTCACTAGAACTGAATAGAATTTTTGACTAAATCTAGCCCCCTTACGGAAAAGGGGGACAATATCACATTGCCTCAGCAAGGCCTTTGATAACTGTATGCCAAAGCATTTGTATTGAACCTGCTTTACTTGCTGCTCAATTGTGTTTGTGTCTTTGCTGATGTGTCTTCTAAACATTGGATTTCCCTAGGTCCCAATCCTAATTCTGCTTTTTTGTGTCCTCTTCTCTACCATCCTAAGAGAGCTCACCCATTCTCATTTCTTTAATGCTAAACACAGGCTATTGACTCTCAAATGCATATCTCCGGGCAGGTCCTATCCCTTATGTTCCATATTCACACATACCCAATATGCCACTTGAAAATGTCACCCAACTATGTTGTTATGTACAACAAGTAAAACATTTCCGTAAAACCAAAAGGGAGCTTCTGTTTTTCACTCTTCCACTTGTTGTCACCCAAAACCTGTTCTATAAAGCTCTCACATGTTGGTATACTGTGCTACATAATGTATAAAACTGTGTATGATGAATGTAAAGCTGTAAAATTATCCAAACAACTGTTCAAACCAACAGCTGTCTTGGCTTCTGTCCTACCTGCTTACCTCCACCTCCAATGCATGAGCACTTTCAGTCATTTTTGGTTTATATGTTGGTTTAGAAAAATCCATACACTTAACTCCAGGTCTGCTCTAAACACCCATGCCTAAACTATCATAATTTTGCCAAAACCAAGGTTAACAAATTCCTTTTTGCTTCCAGTCTTCTCATCTCTACTCCACAGCAGTAGTAGCCTTTAAGACAAGGAACTCGTACAGTCAATGCCTTCCATAGCATTTGTATGTTAACTCCAATACACTTAGGATAACAGTAAAGAATTGTGAGCATGACCTGCAAAGCCCTACCTTAAGTGTCCACTTTGTTTTCCAAGACCAGAAGAAGCAGCTATTTGAATTTCTAATCCAATGACTAGGCATAAAGTAGATAACACTCTTGTTCATTCTGTCTTCATCAGCTGTCATCAGCCTCTCTTTTGGTTTCTGCTCTACACTAAAAACATCAAAAAGATCAAAGATCAGAGGAAGTTGAACTTCTAAAAATCTCCCTACCTTTCTCTCTAAACAAGGAAAAAAGTTTATATTTGTGGTTAGTGTATTATTTGAATATAGTTTGTGCTTACATTCAGTGCTAGAAAAGGTAAGTCTTGGTTTGCCTGTAAAATATCTAAAATTAACAAATCCAGCACCGACTCCTCTGTCTCTCCTCTGCCTGTAGGTTGCAGCCTGTTTACCTTCCTGTCGTCAGTCACTGCAGCCGTCAGCGGACTCCTGGTGGGATATGAGCTTGGCCTCATCTCTGGGGCCCTTCTTCAAATCAGAACCTTGCTAGCCCTCACCTGTCACGAACAGGAGATGGTGGTGAGCTCCCTCCTCATTGGGGCCTTCCTGGCCTCCCTCATTGGTGGCATTCTGATCGACAGGCACGGCAGAAGGACTGCGATCATCTTGTCATCCTGCCTTCTTGGACTTGGAAGCTTGGTCTTAATTCTCAGTTTATCCTATGCCGTTCTGATCATAGGACGCATTGCAATAGGGGTTTCTATCTCCCTCTCTTCAATTGCCACGTGTGTTTACATCGCTGAGATTGCACCTCAGAACAGAAGAGGTCTCCTTGTGTCACTGAATGAGCTGATGATAGTCATTGGCATTCTTTGTGCCTATATTTCAAATTACGCCTTTGCCAACGTGACCCAGGGCTGGAAATATATGTTTGGCCTTGTTATTCCCTTCGGAATTTTGCAAGCAATTGCAATGTACTTTCTTCCTCCCAGCCCTCGGTTTCTGGTGATGAAAGGAAAAGAGGAAGCTGCAAGCAAGGTCCTTGAAAAACTAAGATCTGTCTCAGATACCACAGAGGAACTCACTACAATCAAATCTTCCCTGAAAGATGAATATCAGTTCAGTTTTGGGGATCTGTTTCGTTCAAAAGACAACATGAGGACCAGAATAATGATAGGTTTAACACTGGTTTTTTTTGTACAAGTCACTGGACAACCAAACATACTATTCTATGCATCAACTGTTTTGAAGTCTGTTGGCTTCCAAAGCAATGAGGCAGCTAGCCTGGCTTCCACTGGGGTTGGAGTGGTCAAGGTTGTCAGCACCATCCCAGCCACCTTTCTTGTTGACCACGTTGGCAGCAAAACCTTCCTCTGCATTGGCTCCTCTGTGATGGCAGCCTCACTGCTGACCATGGGCATTGTGAATCTCAACATCCACATGAATGTCACCAATATCTGCCAAAGCCATAGCCCAGTCAACCAGTCTTTGGATGAGCTTGTATTTTATGGTCCAGGAAACTTGTCTGTCAGCAACAACACTCTCAGGGAGTACTTTAAAGGGATCCCTTCCCACAGCAGCAACTCACTTGTTGTGCCTATGAAAAATGATAAAGATATAAAAGCGGAGACAGCCCCTACATCCTTACCAAATTCAGGACTAAGCCAAACAGAACACGAGACAGTCGCAGACCCTGCAGATGTTCCAACTTACTTGAAATGGCTGTCTTTAGCCAGCTTGCTTATTTATGTGGCTGCTTTTTCAATTGGTCTAGGACCAAGTAAGTACTTTATTTGTATTCTTTTCCTCTGTTTCCTCATGTATGTTGATGTGTTGTTTTTGACTAGTCAGGGCTTCCTCAAAAAACTCACCATATTCCTAAGTGCTAAAGACAAGATAAGAATCCTATTAGCCATTTGGTATTTCTGTAAATATGGAAAGTATGTGTGGATTCTATCTTGTGAATATGCAGGGCTAATATTCAGCTGACAGACAAGTTGCCTACTATCAGTCGCTTGAGGACACTCAACCTTCAGTTGATTGGGGATGACTCAGACTAGAAAAGTATTTATTGCCCAGGAGAGTAAGATTGCTTTATTATTACAGGCTTTGCTGTGATAACATTTTCCATATCATGTCTGAGTCTCTTCATAGATGGAAGAAAAAACAATCAAGAGTTTAAATGTTCTCAAAGCCAAATAATGGATGCATGCCAGTAATACTGAAGAAAGGGAAATTATGAGTTGGGAAGGAGAATGCATTATTCCTGTGAAACCATCTTATAGTACCCTTCATTGCAACACAAATGATTCACAGGGAGAGAATCATTAGGCTGCTTTATTTAGTATAGCCAGTTGGCTCCAGTGACAATCCTTAAGCACTTCTATTGAGCAAACTCTCATCAGAAATGGATTTGTTAGAACAGGTTGTTTGCTCTAATCTTTTAAAAAATGTACTTATGTTTATTAATGTGAGAGAAATAGAGAGATCTTATGACTGCTAGTTCAATCTCCAGACACATTCATCAGGCAGGGGTGAGCCAGGAAATTGAGACCAGAGGCTTAGAACTCCATTTTGTTGGAGTCTCCCATGTGGGTGACACGGACCCATGTACTTGAACCATCACCTGGTGCCTTCCAGAAAGCCTTTTGTTCACCTTGTTGAAAGAAAAGTGTTTAAAAATGAGACTGGCCTCTCTCTGCCACTTCGTCTGCAGCTTTCTATCATTCTCTCATTCCTCTCCTTCCCTTTTCCTTTCTTTTTCAGTCCTCTCTATTATAGAGTTGGTTTTGAAATCTCTTTACAAGGAACAAGGAGGTAAACAATTGGCCTAAATAAAAGAAAAGTGTAAAAGTTTCAGGACCAAGAAAAAGACATAGGCTGGGCTGCAGGGAAGGAATTTCACGGAAGTGGAAGATTGTTTCTGGTAAGAGAGCCACATAAAAACCTGCTTCAATCACTACTGCTAGCTCATTAATGATGCATTCACCTGATATGCACTGAGTGATCAGGTTTTAAATCCCAAGAACTCTGAGAAATGCTGCGGAAATAGAAATGAGCAAAGCGAACATTGTCACTTTTTCCAAAGAGCTCGTAGCTGAGTGGACTGAGCCTCACTCACGGTATCTGTTTCTGTTCAACCACCTGCATGGTTGGTCTGTCTAATCCCAGTTAATTAATAGCCAGCTTTGTACGTGGCTGAAACCTCGAGTCTGTAACCCTGACTCAATCTCCTTATTTTGTGGCTGCTACATCAACTTTTAAAATATCAATTTCCAGATATTGACTTGTTCAAATTCCATAGGAGGGAGAGATCTGATGGACCCTGCTCTTTGTCATGTCTGAGGTGGCAGTTCCAACCTAATCAGCAGTGGCAAGGTTGGGTCCTCTGTTCCAAACCACAGAATGGAGCTGACCCTTCCACAGGCACATGAGTAGACACGTGAGTGTGTTCCCATGCAAGGGCTGTACCTGGGCAGCTGTGCCCTAAGTGTCTGATCACCTTCTTGTTCTTGAGCCTTGACCTTGTTTATCAAGATTTAACAGTGATAAGCACCATCTAAGAACAGTTTCCTATAAGCAAATTTCTACCACTATCAGGATTCAATTTTCTGGGCTGTGTAGCTATGAGACACTTAAGTGAACCCTGTGATACTCTAATCAAATTTGGTTAAGCATCTTACTTGGATTTTTCAAGAAACTCTTCAAAATCTATCAGAAAGGCAAGATATGGGTCCTGTCATATTCCGAGGAATACCCTATCCTTGTCTATGAAACAAAGTTTCATTTTAACAAGTTTTGCAAGTTTTATCCATTAGACAAACTTCAGGTGGTAGTTATTAATTCATTGATTTCTTTTGCAAGCATCTTCCCTCCCTTTTATATATTCATTGTAAAGCTAAAAATATTCCTTTTTCACATCAATTTTCCTGATCTAGTCTTTTGAAATATCAAAAATCCAGTTAGTCTGCAGAAAGAAAGGATGTCTTCTTTGTTTTAACTCAGTTGTAACTCAGTTGTAAAAGAGCTAATGTGATAAATATTGTGAGAAACAGTCCAGAACCACCTGTTCCTGTCTGGAGCCCTTTTACTCATGCCAACCTTCTCTTGATTTGGAGCTGGCTTTGGAAAATGCACATCTTTCAGTCTATCATACATCATGTGATACCTATGTTAGATCAAGTGTTTCTACTTTTGCAAACAATTTGATTTTTGAAAAAAAGTACTTTGCTTTCTAGAATTTCTTACACAGTATTCTATACTAATTGTTTTAAAAGATAATTTCAGCTCAGATTGAACTAATAATGATTAGCCAACAATAGTTTCTATATATTTATTTTGTCAAAAGCCATGACAGGCAGTTTCGAGTGCTTCATTTAACCATCACAGCAAGCACATGTGTTGCTCATGGAATTTTACAAATAAAGACCATGAGCCTCAGAGAGGTTAAGTGACTGGTTGAAATAAATGAAAGCAACACTTATCTTCTGATATGCAGTGCAGATCCCCAGTCCCAGGCAAGAAGAGACCTTCCATCTGGAAGGTCTTATGCAAATAAATTTCCCTTCTTGCTAACCCTAATTTAGAACAACACGGCCACAGAGACTCTAGGAAACATAGCTCCAGCTTAGCTGACATGAGAGCATAAAACCACCATAATAAACACATAACTCTAAGAGGATAGCCTTTCAACAGGCTAATGAGCCTGCATTCACTCTTCACTGGTTATTCTAGACAATTGAAAAAATTAAAATGCAAGTTATTAAAGAATATACCTAGTTTTCATCCCAGCTACTTCTAAAAAGAGAGACAAGATCCTCTTATTAATGCCTTTTGGACCTTGCGTCTTCAGCTATAAAACTGAAAGCATGCTTTGACTAACGCACTCGGAAGGTATTGTGTTTGTCTTCTCAGGAACGTTAATTGCCTCGCTGAGCTGCTGCTCTCTCATATCATCGATTCTGTCACCTCACATGACTTCCAGTTCCTCTTTCCCAAGGCAGTTAGCTTTTTCCATTTTGATGCTTCACTTCAGCAAAGCAAAACAAGCCCGGTGCTGGACTTCTTTCCCCCTACACCAGGGGCTCCGCCCTCTTCCCTTCCATCTCCACTCATCTTGCTCTTAGGGCTACAATCTGGGGAGCAGTGCAACCCCAACCCTCTTGGATGTTTCCCCTTAGGTAGCTCCACGTTTGTAATTTCTGACATTGTAGTCTAGCCTTGTGATCTCATTCCTAGATTGCTGGACATGCCGACCAAGATCCGCTTCCATTGCAGGCCTGTCACATATCCTCCATGCTTCACATCGGTACTTTCATTTTTTAAAGATTTTTTTTTTTTAATTGGGAAGGCGGACATACAGAGAGGAGAGACAGAGAGGAAGATCTTCTGTCCGATGATTCACTCCCCAAGTGAGCGCAACGGCCGATGCTTTGCCGATCCAGAGCCAGGAGCCTCTTCCGGGTCTCCCACACGGGTGCAGCGTCCCAAAGCTTTGGGCCGTCCTGGAATGCTTTCCCAGGCCACGGGCAGGGAGCTGGATGGGAAGCGGGGCTGCCGGGATTAGAACTGGCGCCCATATGGGATCCCGGGCGTGCAAGGCGAGGACCTTTAACCACTGCGCCACTGTGCCGGGCCCGGTACTTTCATTTTTTTTGAAGATTTATTTATTTTTGTTGAAAAGGCAGATTGACAGAGAGAAGGAGCTTGCAACTGCTGGATCACTGCCAAATGGCCAAAACGGTCAGGTACTTCTTCCAGGTCTCCCATGTGGGTGTAGGATCCCAAGGCTTTGCATGATCCTCTACTGCTTTCCCAGGACCCGAGCATGGAGCTGGATGAGATATAGTGCAACCAACATGTGAACCAGTGCCCTTATGGGATTCCAGTGCTCACGAGGGAAGGATTAGCCAATTGAGCCGTCACACCAGACCCACCAGAACTCTTTTGGTGCCATTTGTTTCATATCACTGATAATCATGAAACTTCGGTGCCTTCTTATTTTTTACACCAGAGAGGGCAAAGCGTTTATAGGATGAACAGAAATTACCTAGTCCAGCATTTTCCTTTTACAGAGAAGAAATAAGAATGTCCAAGAGATTGGGATCAGGAAGATATGAGAGTAGAACCCCACCCAGGTACTTATAGGCTGACCCTTGTCACCAGCTTTGATGGGTAAATCTCAATCTCCTTTTCAAGACCCTGGTCATTATTTATGGCTCTCTCTGCATAATGCCAGGATATTATTAACAGTGCGGTCTGTGTGGTTGTGCTGCTAGGCCACCATTCCTGCAGAAGTGCAACTAGGCCTCACTTAGAATAAATGATGTCCCTGACATTATACAATGAGGCAATTCTTTGCTCATCTCCCTACTGTAAATAGCTGGAAAGCGCTACTTGGTCCTTCACTTCTTCCAGTGTAGAAACAAAGCAACAATCTGAGCTGTAAAGGGAGAGAACAAGGCAAAGAGAAAAAATGCAACAGCAGAGCTCCCCAATAGTCAAGACCCAAAGAGGGGACCCCAGAGCTGGATCTCCTTTCAGGAAGTGCACCCCTAGGTGTTTAATATGTGATCTAACATCCTTTTTACCTGTGTCACCTGATGTGGCAGCCCTCACACAGGGCATAGGCCATTGCTGCTTGTGCTGGGATCTGTGCACAAGCCCACAAGACTTGGGATGGAGGGATCTAACTGTTTGAAAGAGCTCCCGGAACACGGAGCAGAGCATGATTGGTTGATCTCGGCGGGCTGCGACATGAGGGAGAAGGGAAAAGTTGGC